TGGTCCCAGCTACTTGGGAGGCGGAGGCAGGAGACTCGCTTGAGCCCAGGAGTTGGAGGTTGCTGTGAGCTGTGATGCCTTGGCACTCTACCCAGGAGGACAGCTTGAGACTCTGTCTCAAAAAAAAAAAGACTTGACAATAAGAAAAATGCTTTGAGCATGAAAGGACAAACTATTTCTTAATAACTAATGGGTAGAAGTTGAAACCCATAGGAGTCTGTTTTGGGTAAAACAGTAGGATAAAGCTATGGGGGACTGCTACCAGAAGTGATATGATTTCTAAAAAGCTGCTTTGAGGAAGTTGGCCATAGTTTTTACTTTTCAGCCAAGAATCAATCTAATGACTTTTCTTTCTTTCTTTCTTTTTTAGTTGTTGGGGATTCATTGAGGGTACAATAGCCTGTGGCAACATCTGGCTATTTTTTTTTTTTTTTGAGACAGAGTCTCACTTTGTCACCCTTGGTAGAGTGCTATGGCATCACAGCCCACAGGTTACTTTGATTGCATTTGTTAGGTAAAGTCCCTCTTATAATTGTGTCCTGCCCCTGAAAGGAGTGTTACATAGTGACCCTCCAAACCCCTAATAGAGTGGTTTTCATTGAACAATCATCCTTTCATTGATATTACACAAGGACACATTTATGAATTAAAAACCTACTGAAAGAAAACCATTCCAAGCTTATATATGTGTGGAGTAAACATGGACTTGTTTTCCATGCTGTGAAATACTATAGTAAAGGTCCTGTTGAAGCTTGAAGTCCACTGACCATCTTAAGATAATTGAGACTTGGCCAGCTGCGGTGGCTCACGCCTATAATCCTAGCACTCTCAAAGGCAGAGGTGGGAGGATCCCTTGAACTTCAGATCAGCCTGAGCAAGAGAGAGACCCTGTCTCTACTAAAAATAGAGAAATTAGCTGGGCATGGGTGGTGCATGCCTGTAGTCCCAGCTACTTGGGAGGCTGAGGCAAGAGGATCGCTTGAGTCCAAGAGTTTGAGGTTGCTGTGAGGTAGGCTTGTGCCATGGCACTCTACTGAGGGCAACAGAGTGAAACTATGTCTCAAAAAAAAAAAAAAAAAGGGCTGGGCACAGTGGCTCACCTCAGCTCATGTATTTGAGACAAGCCTGGGAAAGAGTGAGACCTCCTCTCTACTACAATAAATAGAAAAAGTAGCTGGGTGTTGTGGACACCTATAGTCCCAGCTACTTGGGAGGCTGAGGCAAGAGGATCACTTAAGCCCAGGAATTGAGGTTACTGTAAGTTATGATGCCTCTGTACTCTACCCAGGGTGACAGAATGAGACTGTCTCCAAAAAAAAAAAAAGCCCATAAATTAATCAAGGTGATAAAACCACCCATAGGAGTGTTTAACCTGCATCTTGTAGGGTGCATGCTGATATATGGATTTTTTTTTTTGCTTATCTGTGGTTTTGGATATCACAAAAAGTCTACATGGACCTTTTATTTTTATAGTTTGGAGATGGAGTTTCACTTTGTCACCCTGGGTAGAGCGCTGTGACATCATAGCTCACAACAACCTCAAACTCTTGGGCTTACCTGATTCTCTTGCTTCAGCCTCCCAAGTAGCTGGGACTATGGGTGTCCATCACAACACCCAGCTAGTCTGAGGCTTACAGGTGCCTGCAACAACATCTGGCTTTTTTTTTAAGACAGAGTCTCACTTTGTCACCCTTGGTAGAGTGCTGTGACATCATAGCTCACAGCAACCTCCAACTCTTGGGCTTAAGCGATTCTCTTCTGGCTACTTTTTTTTTTTTTTTAAGACATGGGGTCTCAATCTTGCTCAGGCTGGTCTCAAATGCCTTAGGTCAAGCAATCCTCCAGGCTTGGCCCCTATTTTTTTTTTCTATTGTTGTTAATCATGTTTCATTAGTGTTTGTATATATTTACTGTGTGGCCCAAGACTCTTACTCTTCCAATGTATGACAGAAAAGGAAAAAAAAGTTGGATAGCTCTGCCCCAAGGGGTCAGTGTGGGCACGAAGGATGTGACTGGTAACCCTGATGCTTGCCTGGTTCTTTGAGGTCTTGAACAAGAGGAGAAACCAACTTCACTTCCATCATCCCCAGTACCATGATTGGCCTGTGGACAGGTAGCCCCACAGGGGTGATCTAGAACAGCAAAGTTGGGTTCTTTTGGATGGTGGGAGATAAGGGAGGGAGAGTAGATGGCGGGGTAGTACTCACCACATAATCCATGACACCAGCACCATCGTCGCCTCATTGAAGGCATTAAAGAAACGGATGAGCTCTTCCCCTTCAGAGCCTAGTTTCTTTAGGGCCACGCCCAACACCAGTGCAAAAAGCACCAATCCTAAAATGTTCATCCCTTCAATCTCATTGCCAACGGGGACCTGCAGAATCAGAGGGATAGCATGGTCCAGGTTTACAACAGATCAGTGACAATTAAAGATGTATACATGTTTGCTTGGTGTTTCCACCAGACTGAAACACTGTGGCGAGAGTAAGAAAAGGCTTATATTTTCTTAAACTTGCAGTGATGTCACAAATAAAAGGTAGGAAACATGAGGGAAGATGGAGTCTGAGGATATGGAGAGTCAACAGGCAAAACTTTCTTTTTTTTCGAGAGACAGTCTTACTTTGTCTCCCCTGGTAGAGTGCTGGGGCATCAAGATCACGGCAACCTCAAACTCTTGGGCTCAAGTGATTCTCTTGCCTCAGCCTCCCAAGTAGCCGGGACTGCCACAATGCCTGGCTATTGTTAGAGACAGGGTCTCATTCTAGCTCAGGCTCTTGAACTCTTGAGCTCAGGTGATCTGCCTGCCTCAGCCTCCCAATGTCAACAAGCAAAACTTTCACCTAGTTGTTAACTCTGAAAGCTGTTCAAAATGGGATAGGTTAAAGCAGAAAGTAGTGAGTTCCTGTCATTTAGTATACACAAGTAGGGGTTGGACAACCACATCAAAGGGTTGCTTTTAAAGGAAGAGCTGGCTGGTCAAAAGTTCCTTCAAATCACGGGGCTGGGTATGGTGGCTCATTACTGGAATCCTAGCACTCTGGGAGGCTGAGGCCAGAGGATTGCCTAAGCTCACAGGGTCAGGACCAGCCTGAGCCAGAGCGAGACTTCGTCTCTAAAAATAGCTGGGCATTGGGGTAGACGCCTGTAGTCCCAGCTACTTGGGAGGCTGAGGCAAGGGAACCATTTGAGCCTAAGAGTTTGAGGTTGCTGTGAGCTGTGAAGCCATGGTGCTCTACCGAGGGTGGCATAGTGAGACTCTGTCTCAGAAAAAAAAGTTCCCTCAAATCATGACTGTAACTATGTCACCTGTTAATACATTTTGTTGTTGTTGTTAGGCTCCTACAGGGACCTCCTGGCTGACAAACTTCATAAAAGATTTTTCAGAATCAACGTAGACATTTTCAGGATACTCTTTCCTAAGTCGCTGACTTAAAATATATAGGCATAATATATTGTTTATTTTTTCTAGCAATTCTGACTCTCACTACTGTAAGCATTTATTCGACAAACATCTTATCCCATCAAAACATGTTATAAAATTCCAAACAGGAAACATAGACTAGCATGGTAAAAACAGAAAGAGCAGTTCTAAGTTCTAAACCTGGCTTCTGGGATTAATTAACTTCTCTGAGCTTCAGTTTCTTCACCTACGTATGATGAAGTGAATTGGACTAAATTAGTAGCTTCCAACTTTTTTTTTTTTTTAAGCATAACTTTTCCTTTAATCAAAGAAAGGCTGGTAGAACTCAGAGCCCCTCAGCTCTGGGGATACAGAGGGGTATATGTGGGGTGGGAAGGGGACAGAAGTCTTCCTTCCTGCCGTGACAGCTCTGGGCCTGTGTGAAAAATCACTGGACTGAGCAATAGTCCTTGAGGTCCCCCATCCCTCACAGCTCCATCACGAAAGCTAGCTCAGTACCTGGTAAACAGTAAGTACTCAAAATTACCACAAATTTCTTTTTAAAGTCTTTTAGGAAAGTCTTTTCTAATTCCTAAATTACCTGAGACAGTTAGGTAGCAGGTATGATTTATACGAAATGCACTAAGATCCATAGATTCATGTGTATCATAAAAACTCGTAGTGTAGAGTTTCATTTCCTTTCCACTACTCATAATGAAAAGTTTGAAATATAGAAATATAGAAAAGTCGAAATACAAAACGATGATCTCCATGTGTGGTCCTTTTGTTTATTATTGGTGTATATTACTTACAGGGAAGAGGTAGTAACAGATGTGTCTGCTTTGGAGCCGACTGTCACTACTTTCTAGCTTGTATAAGTTTAGGTAAGTTACTTATCCCCTGTGGGCCTCAGTTCCCCATCTATAAATTGGGGATAATAGCAGTAGCTAATGCATATATAAGGTTGCTATGAAGATTAATTATTTGCCACTTTAGAAAATTGTGTCACCAATAGCCAAAGTCCTATAATAGCCAAGTCATTAGTATAACATGTGATGTCTGCATTGTAGCTGTTGCATTCAGGGTGATTCTATATTCATATATAAAAATATTTATTATTGTTAATAATATACTTAATATAGTAATATAATAGCATTTTGTACTTATTCCAAAATGTGCAAAAAAGCAAAACAGTGCCAATGATGTTGAGTTGAATTCTGACTTACTACCTTTATTTTTTTTTGAGACAGAGCCTCAAGCTGTTGCCCTGGGTAGAGTGCCGTGGCATCACAGCTCACAGCAATCTCCAACCCCTGGGCCCAAGCAAGTTTCTTGCCTCAGCCCCCCAACTAGCTGGGACCACAGGCACCCACCACAACGTCCAGCTATTTTTTGGTTGCAGCCGTCATTGTTGTTTGGTGGGCCCAGGCTGGATTCGAACCTGCCACCTTAGGTGTATGTGGCTGGTGCCTTAGCCACTTGAGCCACAGGCACTGAGCCGTGACTTACTATTTTTAAACCCAAATATATTCATTCTAAGTGATACAAATACCTGTAAACTTCATCATGTCTTCTAGTATAGTTGTACATGGAGAAAAATGGGTATTTTATTATAAATTATTTTTCTCATTGATTTTTCAAAAAAGTTATATATGAGGGTACAAGTGAATCTTTCTAAAAGTAGAATATAAACATCTGAACACAACAACTAAGAAAATGACATAAAGGCTATGTTAACTAGTTTGATGAAAATATTTCAAATTGTATATGAAAACACCACACTGTACCCCAGGATTGCATTAATGTACACAGCTATCATTAAAAAAAAAAAAAGAGTGGGAAAAAAAAAGTTATATATGCATGGATAGGTTAAACCACCTGCTGATTACGTTTTAGGACAGTAGATGGGGTATTATAATATGTTTTATGCATCCTCTGAGGATTCCAATGCTACAAACAATGTGATATGTGACCACGTTGGCACATAACCAACAGAGCAAGGCTAGCTGTGTGCTTCAGATAGTCCATTTGAACCTCAAAGTTTTCATCCAGCTGAGAAAAAGACACATCATGTTATGATCTTTAAATTAAGAAACATTAGCTGCTTCATACGTATTTTTCACAAGTGACCTTATAAAGAAAGAACTTTACCTTTTCATGGGTTACGTTTCCAGAACTGGTGTTATGGGTCACCACTTTATAATCGGTCGCATACTGTGATCAAGAGGAAGGAAAAGCACTGTTAGTGTGCAGGTGAAGGCTGACCCAGAAGACCGAGGGCATTGCTGGGCCTCTTGCTACTTCCATCATTATTTACATGGGGTGTTCTGGGCCTTCCTCAATTGGTTGGCCTGACAAGGGCCTCTGAGAACTGTACAAAAGTTACATTTAAATGGAGGCAGCACGTACTTCAAGAGGCCTCTGGGTTACTTAGGGCCCCACAGAAACAGGGAGTATTTCCTTATGTTTCTTGGGTAATGAATGGTTTGGTGGACAAGGTCAGCACAATTTTATGCTGCTAGTTTGTTATTTCAAAACAGCCTGATATTAATACCTCATTATTTGAATAACCCTGGCAGTAATTCCATAATGGCCAAGTTCACTTTTCACTGTGCCATTTTATTTTCATTCACTTATTTATGTCCCCCTTTGTTCCAGAACTTATTTGAGCATGACTGTATTTTAGCATCTGTTTCTAATCTGGCTTGAGCCTCCACTCTGCAAAGCCAGGGGCATGAGGCAAGGTGGCATTTTCTGGCTGAGTCTTGTGGGAAATCGACTTATCAGAAGGGAGACATCTCTCCAACTTTGGTCCTGTGGTTGACCTCACGTGCTTCTGCACAGCGCACACAGGCATCTCCACCTGCTGTTGGGTGGAATCTGTTAGAACACTGTCCTTCCTGACCCTTTCCAAGGCACCTGGCCCCGAGGCGTCAGGAGGAGCCTGCCAGGATGTCCAGATTGAAGGCCTGCTTTGTGCCTGCCTGTGATGAGCTCTGGCTTCTCTCAGCTTTGACTTATTGAGTTTACAAAAAGGTGGAGATGTTCAGCTGTCCCCTGATCAAGGGTGGCAGGGAAATAAACCACGCTCAACCCCCTCAGTGACTGGCATTAAAAGCCCCATAAATCTACTTGTTTCTCCTATCTCACACTCTACACACAATCCTGTGCTCACATGCAGTTTAAAAAAAAAGAGAGGTTATAAGTAGAAGCAGAAAACTACTTATAAAAGCAATCAAATTAGATTATGTAAGTCTACATAATATGTAACTTACAAATTAGATTATGTAAGTTTGTATTCCTTTTCTGTGTGAAGAATGGCCACAGGACTGTTACTTGCATCATTATTAAAAATAGAAGGCTCGGCGCCTGTGGCTCAAGCGGCTAAGGCGCCAGCCACATACATCTAAGGTGGTGGGTTCGAATCCCCAGCCCGGGCCCGCCAAACA